GCCCCATCTTGTTGAAACCACACATGTTCGAAGTTTTCACCACAAATCTCTCTTACTGCGGGAACAATCTGATTTCGAAGCATGTCCTCGTATTTTTCAGCAGTCAAATTGCCATCAATGAAGAATGGGCCAATTATTCTGTTTCCCAATATGCCAGCCCAAACATTTAATTTCTCCGGATATTGCGTTCTGTCTTCTCGCATCCAGTTAGGATTTGTAGTTTCCCAATATCTGCAATTATGTCTATTTAGAGTCCCATTTAGTTGAAATGTTGCTTCATCCGAGAAGACTATTCGTGACGGAAGATTGTTGTCATCAGCGATTCGTGACATCATATCATCACAAAATTCAACGTGTTGATCGAAATCATCTTCACTTAACTCGTGAACAAGCTTAACTTTGTATGGATGAAATCCATTTTTTTTTAATATGACGTGAACGGACATTGTACTTATTTCATGTTCTTAAGAGACTTTACGGGTTGAACTATGCGGATCTTCGATGAATGTTAATAATACATTCAATGAGTTACCATCATCTGTTGCTGATGTTGGTCTACCTATTCTAGGTCGATCTTTCACGCTGCCAGTTTCATTGAATCTCCGAATCGTTCGCTCGACAGTTGATTTCGAAACCGGAGTCATCCCGTTTCTGAATGTTTCATTGAAAAGATTCTTTACATGATTGTATGATCGCGTTACATCACCCCAGCCTCTCATCATAAGAAGCCTTATTCTGTCTCTTTCAGTGAGGTTTTGCATTACGGCGCACAATACAAAATAATACCAATAATATTCTAAGTAAATCGATATTCTAATACAAAACACTTCCTTCAGAGTTTCAACTCAACTGAGTGAAAACAAATTCAAGACTAATAAGAAGACAATACTCGCAAGCCAAAATAATGTAAACAAAAATCTAATATCAAAAAAGTAAACAAAGCGCGAGTAAAGCTTCAGAGATTACTGCGATCAGTGTATGCGTACACTGCCGACCAAAAGTTTGGAAACACTTAATTAGTTCGAATTTGAAAATGTGTATGTTTCTAAGACTGTAACTTAGGATATGAAAACCCCCTCTAATAAGAACTTTTTAAAAGAATCTAACTACATCTTTCGACGATTATCGAAAATTTTTATTTTTTAAATGTTGTAACATCCAAAATATTAAAAGTCAAATATCTTCGCGAAAAGTGATTGCAGCGCCCTCTATGCCGGGTGTTTTGTATTCATCTCGACAAGACCTTTCAAACGAGCCCCCACTCGACCCATGGTGTCATTTAAGATTTCAATCCCCCCTCGTGCCCCACGTGCCCCCTTGGAGGTGGGGGGTCGATACCCCCCTCAAAAGATAGCTTTTTTAAAAAATCGTTTGACGTGTTTCGGGGATTTTTGAAATATTTTTTTTTTCAAAACTTATTCAACCGTCCCGGGACTTTTTGTACACCCTGTATATACAGTCTGTAAAGTAAGAGCGTGTACGGGTTAATGCGTAGAAAAATTTATTTTTAATGATTTTTAAGTACATAGATTTGTTGTAGTCTAGGAGAAGGAAAATGCTATATCATTAATAATGAGTCCAGTGACCACCGGCATTGATAATTGCCTGACATCTCCGAGGCATACTTTCCACTAAGTTGACTGCGTATTTTATATAATTTGTCGTGTCAGCTGCTTCAAAGTGCATACTCTTTTTCCTCGAAGCTTGTGCTTGAGATATCCCCACACATTTTCAATAGAATTTGCATTTGCCGACTTCGATGGCCAATCAAGTGTGACGATGCCAGACTGCTCTTTCCACTCGGTGCAAAGCTTGCTCCGGTGTTTTGGGTCGTTGCCATCCTGTAAGATCTAGTCCTCGTTTTTTTTTATGAAACATCCTTCAGAAGTCGGCAACAAATACTTTTCATAAATTTTAAGCATTTTCGGAGCATTTAAATTGTATGTAAACAGATGTAATGCACAATTTTTTTTTGATGTTCGGCGTCACTTTGCCTATCGAGCCACGTTCTGGCAAGTCATCAACATTTTTGGTCTTCTTATATTGCTGAACCCACTTAGCAATGAACGATTTTGACTTTCCCATGTATTTAGCAGCCGCTACATATGACATGTTTGGTCCTTTCGGGTGGGAACAAAGGAACACAGCCTCGTAGCGCCGATGCGTATGCAGCACTCATGGCGGTTAACGTGTTTCTCAGATAAGAATTCGACACCAATTGAATCTTTCATGATAAAGCATTCACGACAAAGGTTCCATCTATCGACTCGCACAAAAACTAGGACGATATTTGA